GCCCTGTGGCTCTGTGTGTGACAGGGGGCGGGGCCCCAACCCCCCAATCGGCCCTACCCTGAGCGTGACTAGGGGTGGCATCGCAACCTCCCGATCCGCCCTGCGCTGTGCATTACAGGGGGCGGTGCCCCAACTCCCCTATCGGCCCTACTCTGTGAGTGACAGGGGGGAGCTCCTCAACCCCCTGATCGGCCCTGCTCTGTGCGTGACAGGGGGCAGCGCCCAACCCCCTGATTGGCCCTGCTCTGTGCGTGACAGGGGGCAGCGCCCAACCCCCTGATTGGCCCTGCTCTGTGCGTGACAGGGGGCAGCGCCCAACCCCCTGATTGGCCCTGCTCTGTGCGTGACAGGGGGCAGCGCCCAACCCCCTGATTGGCCCTGCTCTGTGCGTGACAGGGGGCAGCGCCCAACCCCCTGATTGGCCCTGCTCTGTGCGTGACAGGGGGTGGCACTGCAACCTCCCCATCGACCCTGCCTTGAGTGTGACAGGGGGCGGTGCCCCAACCCCCCAATCGGCCCTACCCTGAGCGTGACTGAGGGTGGCATTGCAACCTCCCGATCCGCCCTGCTCTGTGCATGACGGGGCGGTGCCCCAACTCCCCAATCGGCCCTGCTCTGAGCCTGACCAGGGGCTGCACCTAGGGATTGGGCCTGCCCTCTGCCACCCGGGAGCAGGCCTAAGCCAGCAGGTCGTTATCTCCCGAGGGGTCCCAGACTGCAAGAGGGCACAGGCCGGGCTGGGGGACCCCCCCCAAGTGCACAAATTTTTGTGCACCGGGCCTCTAGTACTATATAATAAAACCCTAATATGCAAATCGACCGGTCGCTATGATGCGCACTGATCATCAGGAGGAAGATGCTCAACGCAGGAGCTGCCCCCTGGTGGTCAGTGCACTCCCACAGGGGGAGTGCTGCTCAGCCAGAAGCTGGGCTCACAGCTGGCGAGCAGAGTGGCGGTGGCAGGAGCCTCTCTCACCTCCACAGTGTTAAGGACCCTTCGGGGGTCCCAGACTGTGAGAGGGTGCAGGCCAGGCTGAGGGACCCCCACCCCCACCCCCTAGTGACTAGAGGCTCATAAATGTCATGCACTGGGCCTCTAGTCAATGATAAGAGAGAATCATTGATTGGCTGCCTCCTGCATACCCCACACTGGGAATTGAGCCTGCAACCTAGGCATGTGCCCTGACCAAGAACCAAACCGTGACCTCCTGGTTCATATGTTGATGCTCAACCACTGAGCCATGCCAGCTGGGCCAATTTTATATGTTTTTATGCAAGACGTAGAAACAACTTGAATTCACAAAGCACTTTCACATGCATTCTATCATATTACCTTTATAGCAACCCAAGGGAAGAAAGTGAAGCTTAAATAATTGCTTAAAATTGCTTAATTAGTAAGTAGTGAGGTTGCCCTAACCGGTTTGGCTCAGTGGATAGATGGTCGGCCTGCGGACTGAAGGGTGGCAGGTTCGATTCTGGTCAGGGCATGTACCTTGGTTGCGTGCACATCCCCAGTAGGGGGTGTGCAGGAAGCAGCTGATCAATGTTTCTCTCTCATCAATGTTTCTGACTCTCTATACCTCTCCCTTCCTCTCTGTAAAAAATCAATAAAATATATTTTTAAAATTAAAAAAAAAATAAGTAGTGAGGTCAATACTTGAACCCACATCTCCTGGCCTCAAGTCCAGGGCACTTCCTGAATAATGCTGGTGTTTAACATCACAGGCTGCCCAGATGGGTGGAGCTGGCTTTGACTGCTTGTGTGAACTAGGGCAAGCTACTTACTCTCTCTAACCTCCTGTGCAAAGTGGAGAACTTAACAGAAACCACCACGTTGGCTGTAGCGAAGTGATAATGCGTGATGCTCAGCACGGTGTCTGACATCAGTGCTCCTTCAGTGTTAACTATTACCTGCCGGAGGGCAGAAGGCTGGGAGAGCCGTTTTGCCACTGACAGGGGAAACTGAGAGAGGCTGTGTCCAGGGAATAATGGAGTCTGAGGACTGGCGTGCAGGTGGAGGCCATTCTTCCATGATAGAGACTGTCACCCCAGAGAGGTAGTCACTGACATTATGAGATAAGCCATCATGTGAGGAGACACTGAGGAGGAATGGCAGAGGGCGGAGGCTGGGCTTTGAGATCAGCCACGTGAATTGCAGGAGAGGCAGTTAGGCCTTAGGTGACTGAGTGAGCAAGCATAATGCATGTCTGTCTCAGAAAGAAGAGGGGAGACAGCAGGAGGGGCGCCACATTAACTTAGTCAGAGGTCAATGAGAATGAAGAAGTTGCTGGGCTTGGCAGAATTAAGGTGATAATACTTCCCACTGAATCATGGAGATTATTCCATTAATGACTATTTTTACTGCTGTGGCATACAAAGATGAGCCTGAAAGAGGTTGCCCACTGTGGAGAAGAGTCAATGTATCTCTATGCAGAGGATTTGGCTGACTTTAATGGGCACAAAGTGTTGGTAATGATTTATGAGCTCACAGAGATGGTATAGTTTGCATTGAGCCTTGAGATTTGAATAGGCTTTTGACAGACATTCCAGGTAAAATAGATCATGTAAAGAAAAGGCTGGCCCTGACCGGTTTGGCTCATTGGATAGAGCGTCGGCCTGTGGACTCAAGGGTCCTGGGTTCGATTCCGGTCAAGGGCATGTACCTTGGTTGCGGGCACATCCCCAGTAGGAGGTGTGCAGGAGGCAGCTGATCGATGTTTCTAACTATCCCTCTCCCTTCCTCTCCGTAAAAAATCAATAAAATATATATTTTTTTAAAAAAGAAGAAAGAAAGAAAAGGCTGGGAGGTGTGAAAATGCAAATCCCAGAGACTGAGAAGTGTGGCACAAAATAAGGCATGTAGAACCATGTGGGTAAATAAAGCTAGAAAAGCAGATTGAGGCAAGATTTTGAAAGTCCATCAATACCATACCAAGGAGTTAACTTTCTGGGAAATAGTCATTAAAAGCTTTTGAAGTGGGTGAGGCATGATTACATCTATACTCTAGAAAGAATACCAGGATGGAGTGCAGAAGCCTGAGGGATGGCGGGACCAGCGCAGACCTGAAGATGGGTGGTGGTCTGAGGAACTGGGGGGAGTCAGAGGAGAAAAGGCAGTCTTCAGAGAGAGGGGACTTGACAAGGAGTGAAGGGGCCACACAGGCAGGTTTGAGCCTGGGTGATGGGGCAGAGGTGGCATCACCCGCAGACCATAAAGTCATTAGAGGACGGAGTGAGCAAGCTTAAAGCAGGAGGTGGCTCGAGTAGGTGTGGGTGGGAGTGAGCTCTAGACAGAAGGAGTGAGAGATGATCAATGTACAGTTGGGTCCTAGATGGCTCCTGATGCCATTATAAAAAATATTTGGATATGAGACGTGTTTGATTTTAAATATGATAAGGTTTAGGTTCCTGAGAGCTAAAGTTTAAAAATCAACCTCATTGAAGTATAATTGATGTACTCCCTCTGTCCCATAATAATAGTAGCAGTTGATGAATGTAATTTGTCCCATAATAATAGTAGCAAAAGAAAATAAATATAGAACACAACATTTATTATCAAAAAACTAGATTAAATTAAACAATAAATTAAAAAATAGTACTCCTCCTTTTTATTTTGAGTGTTCAAATAGTTTCTGGATTTTTCAATAATTTTGTTACTGCATTTTAAACTTGTAGGTAGGATCCCTTGGCTGTGAAGCTTTGCTTTTCCTATATGCGTGAGCTTAAAATTATTGGAGCCATCGTTCTTCATTGCTTCCAGCATAACTTGTTGAAGTGACAGAAACGTATTATCCAGTATTTCGGGAGAAATATTATCAAAGGCTAATATGGTGCCTCTTCTGCTAAGAGAAATATGTCTAAGTTTTTCAGGTTTTTCTCCATAATCTTTGCATTTACGTCCA